CGCCAATCTGCAACCTGACAATTCGGATGAGTTATTATCTGAACCAGATTTCCAGAAGGCTCATCTCCGCGCTAAGCCAGAGGCTTTCCATCATTATGCTCATGGGCGGCGGTTGCCGTTTGATCTAAGCCATGCCGAACTGATCGGGAAACGTGTCAGAGGCAGAAAAGCCTAAGGCAAGAAACTCTGCCCAATGGAAAAGAAAATCCTCTTGTCTGGCTTGCCTGGTCTCCCAGATGCCCAGATTTACAATTAAAGCTAAAGAGATCCTTTCTCGATAAAATCCATGGCTCATTACTGCTTATAAGGGAGAGGGATACTAGAACTCGTCAAAACAGAACTGCATACAGATATTTTTGAGTTCCTAAAAGTTCCCCACAGTTAAGGGGAAGGATCTGATTCTTGCAGGAGTTAAGCATTCCTCTGTATCAGATAACTGCAGCTGGTAATTCCCACATGGCTCACAACGCGCATTAGCTCTTCTAACAAACAGAAGGCCAAAGCACTACCTTAGGTGCTGACAAACATGGACAGTTGCATACAGCTAGCGACAGGCTGACATGCAACCCCACTTGCACATCATCGGGCCTCTAAATCACAGCAATTTGTTCCTTTGAAACGTAGGGTACAAGCAAATCGACTTTGAAAAGTTTTCCGGCGGGATAAGGGACACAAAAGCAGCACAGGACAACAAGAACAGACTGTGCCTGGTCTTTCTGATCTTCGCCAACCTTAAATAATTCTGACAGCGCCGTTGGGAGGCGCACACACACACACACACGCGTGCGGTTATCCCCAGTTTCACATGCTCTGGGGATCCAGAGGAGCACCTGCCGTAACGGTGCGCTCTGTGGCTGTTCCAGCAATTCAGATGCAAAGCCCAGCAGACAAATGTTGGCCCATTTCACGCTTCCACATGCTGGCCGCTAGCAAGCCACTACCTCTAATCCTGTGCCACATCCCACATGAAAGGTAAGCCATGCTAATGTCAACATGACAGGGAATTGTTTTGCAGGAAACATGGCCAGAGATGAAAAACCTGTACGGAAAGCCCCAACAGCAACACACCTCACCAGGTTTGACATTTGGCCACGGGGCTCTCTGATCTTCTATATCCTCCCTCAGGTCTCATTCTTAGAGTTGGTTTCTCCTGGCGTGGGGCTGTCTTTTTTCCTCATAGCACAGCAGCATTTGCTTTAATGCAGTATCGTGGCTCACTTGGACAAAAAAAATCTTTCTTCTATGTAGACTGGCGCATCTGTGACCAGGAGGGCAAAAAAATAATGTAATGCATCTCCTGCTGGTAAGAAACATTTTCCTTTTATACCAACTCCAGTAATGGGAGTTTTGTCTTTGCTCACTCATTTCCTTCGCATTTTTAGAAGAACAGCAAAGTTGAACTGGCAAAGTGGCATCTTTGATCTGCTGCATCGGGGTTATGCTTCCTTAGCTGGGAGAGGAGTTAAAAAAAACCCCCAAAAAATCCTTGAGGCATTTGTAAGGATGTGCTTTCAATTGTTGACAGTCAGGACTGCTTGCTTCAACCTCCTGATCCAATTCTTGATCTTAGAGCTGGCCTGGTGCATTAGCAGAGGTGTCTGCGGGAAGTTTCCACCCACAGCAGCTAAGTTATAAATGAATACTTTGCTTAAACCTCTCACAGCGCAAGGGTAGGATTTTCTGAGGTAAGCGCTAACAATGAAACACCAACCTCTCTATTAATTGTGCATGAACTAATACCAGTTTTGCTAGTGAGCTTCTGGTCTCAAGCAACAGTTTATAATGCTGATGCCTAATCTGTACAGGAAAAAGCACCTGCTTTTTTTTGCTTGAAAAATACTAGCAATGCAATAAAAACTCGGCGAGAAATGGGTAAGAGCATGAATGAAATGATCATGAGCATGAATGAAATGATCACTCACTACAGGTAAATTCGTCGTCAATTCTCTGCCATTATTTATACGCTTTGTTCTGCAGACAGAGAACAAAGCAAGGAGCTTCTGGAGGTACTTGAAGTAACTGTGGTGTGAAGAAAATCTGTCAAGTACATGGACTTTGCAAAAATTCAAATGAGGATAAAACTGACCTCTGTGCAGGGATGGGAATCAGAATCCCAAAGTGCCGTCCAAACTGCCTGCAGAGCCTAAAGCTGCTTTAAGCAAGAGCTTTAAACAGTCCAGAAGCCTTCTCTAGACCATCTGTAGCAGTGGGGGCTCCAGCCTCCCTCACGGAAAGGCAGCGATATCCTTGCTGAATTGTAAAGTTACTGCTGTTTTTTCATTAACTGAATGGAAAGCCAAGCCCTAGCTCTGGTGAAGCAGGTACACCACACATGTTTAAGAACACAAAGTACAACCTGAGCTTTGAAGAAGAAGCCAAAAGACAGCAGTGCTGCAATACACAAAAGTTTATTTTTAAGTTTTTCTTTTCTGAAGGCAAAATATAATAGAACCTAACATCAATGTATTTTGTACAACAAAACAGTTTTTATATGAGAACAGACAATCCATGAAGAGCTTTTAAGTCTTAGAACGGCTTCCCTTTTTTATCATGCTTTCTTGTGGTCAACAAAACGTTGGCACAGAAGATGTCATGGCAGTCAGTCAGCGGGCGTGCTCCCTCAGATCCTCGTCAGCTGGTGCCACAGACTGGAGGGCAGGATACTTTCTACTTTTTCCATCACAAAATTTAAAGGGGCAAAGAGGGTGCTGAGAAACTGCAAAGAAACCAGATACACATTCAGATCAAAATTCAGGAGACAATACACCTTGGGAGAAAGCTGCCTGGTAAGACAAGAAGCTCTTGCTGTGTTCCTCTGTAAAATCCTCCAGCATGACAAAAATTATGTAATTCACATATAAAGACTTTCTGCCAAATTCTGAGTCCTGCATAAATACGGATTTCTGGATTTTGCAGTAACAAAAGCAAGAGCACCATTTTTATGAAGATCAAAGTGATGAAGTACAGAAGTTTTCACACATCTCACATCCTAGCTTCAGGCTCACACTGAAGCCACTAAAAGCTCAAACCAAAACCTACCAAAGGGAAAAAGAGGCTTTTTCACAGCGGCGGAACCTGCCAGACCACCTCTCAGAGACAAAAAGCATGTCTTCAGATTCAGGTTTGAAATGGTTCTGGGATAGCTACAGATCTGCTATATACACTGAGGCAGCACTAACTGGGAATTTATCTTAACATCCTTCCTCTATTACAGAACACAGTCAGCAATGTTGAAAGAGGTTCCAATATATTAATGTTACTACAGGCATATGTGACAAAAATCAAGAGAATAGAGACCATCTGATCACAGGGAAAAAACCCTGTCAGCTACACATCTCAGAACTCAGGTACTCAAAGCACTCCCCAAATTTTGGGAAATACACATTAACTGTGTATGAGAGAGTACAGTAATACAGAGTCAGCCACCTCAAGACTGTGAACCCTGTGGCTTCTAACCATTCAGGCTAATGCGAATTCGCTAAAAATAAACAGCTCTGTTTGGAACTGATCGGCAAAGAGCTGCAAGAGGTTTGTGTTTCAGTTACTACTCTGCAGTCAGCGCAGAACACATAAACTCTGCTTACTGCACCGATGCATATATTAAGTCTGCTTGGTAGGTCAGTATTAAAGCAAATCTGGTGCTGGATGTGTTCTCTTTTTGCCCAAAACAACTCTCTCTCCTGACAAAAGAGCATATCAGACTTTATATAGAAACGCACTTACATCCCTGCTCATGTTCTCAATTTGCCCCATATATCTTTAGGCACTTACAGGATGCAGACGTGGGGGTCTGGTCCCCCTGTAGTCACTGAAGAGAACTAAGCACTTCCAGAGAGTAATTTTACCCATTCCAGGCCCAGAACTGCCCTTTGAAATTGTGTCTTCCCTCTCTACCCCCAGCTGCAGAGGGAGCCAGGGTGGTTGGGCTTTGCCTTCTCCCATAAAGCAAGGAGGACTGTGGCACAGCACGAGGTGCTGGCCTGCCCCGGCCATGCTCCCGAACTGCTAGCACAGCTCTTGACACGGGTCTGGAGCCAGTGCCAGTTCGTCTCTCCTCAGCAAAGCCCAGGCGGAGTCTGGGGACAGCACAGGGCAGGGGCAGTTCCCAGCAGCCAGCGGAGCCGGGGCCACCCTGCCTTTGAAGGGAAGAAAGGTTAGAGGTACAGACACGAACTGTGATGTGTCACTTGCCTTTGGAGCCACAGAACAAACAATATTTTATTACTTAATACAGATATGTCCTCGGTCTCTAACTTAGGCTCTTAAGTATCTGAAGTTAAGTATGAAAAATGCAATTTCAAAAATTGTTACAGGTCTGTGTGCTGCCAAAACACAGCTATATATGGCAAATGTATTTAAAATGTTTCAAAATTTCGATAGCCAACAGCCAGAGATTATAACCATTTCATGGTATCGAGCAAGAAAATAGCTGCAAACAGTTTTCTGAAGCTAAACAGAGTATTTCAGCCGTAGTGCTAAAGGTCAAGCTGTAGAACGTGAATCGCAGCTGATTTAATGTAACACTGACTCACCTAATTTTAGAGTTTGCTATTACTATTTCACATGGCTTAGGCCAAGTAGAAGCATTCCCTCTGTTTAAACTGTGAATTCTTTAAATAAATACATCCCTTCAGTTTTGCCAAATGCAAAAGGCTCACTAGAGGCTATTTTCTGTTCTTTGAGTAGCACTTGATCTATGTGGTAAGCTTGTACCATCCCATCTACTCGGCCAAAACTCAGCTTTGTAACCAGTGCAAATAACATTGAATCACAGAGTCATAGAATGCTTTGGGTTGGAAGGGACCTTTAGAGGTCATCTAGTCCAACCACCCCCTGCAGTTACATATTCAATCAGTGTTCAGTCAATACAAGTTCAATCAATGAAACAGGAATAATTTGCCTGACAGTAAGTTTTATTGCAATTTTATTGTGATTCATAGGAATTTTGTTGCTGAAGTAGTTGATTGTGTCCTACAACAAACTCGGGAAAGTATCTGTGGCTTAAAATGAGCCAAGTTTTTCTCCACCTGGAAAATTAGTCGGTCTACAAAATACATTTACATTCATGGATACCACAGCCTGGCTTCACTGAAGTCCAAGCAAAACCTTTGCTGACAGCAAGAGGTTCATGATGCCACCTACTCTTTTGTACAAGCCCATGTACACATCATCTGTGCTGGGGCTATCTGGCCCTTGGAAAGCTCCTGGTCCTCCTGCCCTCAGACACCACTGGCAGATCCCTATCTGGCTTGTTTGCCACATGGTAGCACTCAGGAGTGTTTAGTCTGCATGATATGGTTGGTTGGTTTGTTCTTAATTTTTTTGCCTTTCATTTTGACACTGACTGCTTTTTTCCACACGGAACTGAAAAAAACAGCACCAGCAGTAGAGTAAGAATTCAGAGTGGCAGAACTGGTGATGGGAGACCTGTAAAAAGTTTGCTATTACTATTCTGTATTTTAGAAGAAAACCCTCAACCTGGCTATTTCAAAGGTTTCAAACCTGGCAGAAAGCAGGTTGCTGGGAGCACCTTCTGAATAGCACCATTTGATTAGAACAGATATGCAAAAGTATCTTTTCAAGCTTTTGCACTGTGTGGTTGGTATTTGCACAGAGGAACTGACTATTTATTGCTCAAGTCCCTTTGATCGGATCGACGTGTTCCCTGCCTCAGCTCTTCCTGCACCTGTGTCTGTATCTACCAGAAGAGAGCAGCAGCAGAGAATACTCACAGCTTTTGCAAAGACCCCCATAAGCTCTGGGAACTGATGTGTCAGGAGGGCTAGCATGGCTGTGAAAGAACATAGTCCAGCAGTGAAGAGGATGAAGAAGGGAAGCTCTTTCTTGGGGTAAACTGAAACTTCATGAAATGCTGCAGAAAAAAAGATTGGAAGGGGAATGCATTATACATTAAAAAAAAAACAAACCACAACAAAACAAACCAAAAAACCTCAAACCAACATTCTTATGTGGTTTAAACAGCCAGAGACACCCAAAGATGCTTTTGAAGGAAGAAACACTTAGAAAGCCTGAAACACCTAAGGTCAACATTATTGTCATGTCAGCCACCTCACAGCCAAGTAATTCTCATCTAAAGACCGTATTTCTGGCTTACTCTGGTCCTATGTACATGCTACCTTCACCTTCCTTGTATCAGCACTAACTGTAATATGGCTGGGCAACGACTAACACCAGAAATCTAACTTACAAAAAAAGCATCCTTTTTTTTTTTTTTTTTTAAGCAGGTCATTGACTATCCGCATGGCTGCACGTTCGCTAATGCTGATACACAGAGAGTGCAGAAACATGCAGCTGGGAGCAGCAGTGAGACCAACCTTGCAGAAGCATGGCTGTAGATCAGTTTAAGCAGGCTGTAAAACCACAGCCTTTGTAACAGGAAATTCTGAGGGTTTAAGTTGCAGAACCAAGAAAAATTATCCTAAAAAGTAGGACATATAAACATGTACTTTAAATTCAGATTTCCAGAATTCTCTGTATAGTTATAACAACACAACACGCTTTTAAAGTGTTAAAACCTGAAATCTAAATTAATAGTGAATTTTTAAGGTGTTTGTTAGTATACACTAAAAGGAATACAGAAATTTCATCGACTCTGGTGTGAAAAATTGCTCACTGGACTTTGGAGAAAGCAGCACTGAGAAGGCTAAAAGGGTAAGAAGAGGATAATGATTATCTTAGTGGAAGAATATATCCCTTACAATTTTATGGTGGCTCAGATTCAAGGTGAAAATTTGGCTGGGTTGGCAAAAGGTCTGGTGAACTCTTAGGTGTCTGCTTCATTCAGCCAGTCTGTACAGTCACAATAAATGCAAACTTCGAAACATTTTTTTTTCTCATACAGGACCAACCTCAAGGCTTCCCATGTACTCAAGTCCCATGACTATACACACAAAACATTACTATTCCTTTTTGCCTGCTTTCTTTACCTTAGCTACCACCTCTCATCTCATCCTACTTGCAGACAACATAAGCACAGGGTAATCCAGCAACATGACAGGACAATATCCTTGGCTCCATTCAACCAGAGTGGAGCAGTTTCCAAAAT